CTAGCTTGAAATCCTGTAGTAAAGCTTTGTTGTCTGTATCCTTACTTTATTTAAAATGAAACAAAACCTTAAAAATCCAATCTATTGGAAACTTCCTAATACAACCTGATTTTTGTGGTACTTGTGCCAATAGTACCTCCTAAAAAAATAAAAATAAATGCAAAATTTTGCTTGTGTCTAAGTTTGTTTTGTGATCTTTTTACCTTGAATCTTTTGGTGCAAATCTGTGTTCATAGATTAGCAGAATTCAGTAGCTTTGCTGTTTTGCGTGTGTATAAAATTAAGGTCTTGTTCTTCTATAGTAAAATTTGAAAAATGCAGCAAACATTTTTTACTTTTGTTGTTGACAATTTTCTTGTTATGAAATACAGTTACTTTACAAGGTACCCTTTGGAAATCTGTGTTGTCTTAAAGTCCATGAGTAGCTGTTCTTTTTAAAAAGGCATTGCTCATGTAGTACCACTTCTGATGTTTTAAAATCAAAATCAGTTTCTCCCTGAATTACTTTATACAGAATATCTATGAGGAATTCTTGGAGTTCTGTACATCATTTTTGCAGATGAAATTAAGACTCGTTCCACACTGGAACTTTCTGGATTGAATATTAGGCATGTTTATATTTTACTTGGCATTTGAAATGTTAAAGTTATTTTGCACTTCTGGCAACCCTCTGATTCAGTGTAGATGTTTGAAACAGGTCATAGCTGTTTTTTTCTGTTTCAGGAGAGTCATATGAAGGCTGAATAGTTTGTTCTGTAGCGAATTAAATTCTCCACATACAACCACTGAAGGTGGTGTAACTTAGTTTCTGCTGCCCCTCCTTCCCAGGGCTTAGTTCTTAGTTTGGCAGACAATCTGCCAAAACTTTTGAATGAACCTGTTCTGTGTGCTTTTCTCTGTTCTATTATGTTTCCAAAAATTCCTCAAGGTTCTTTTCCCTGCATATATATTCCCTAAAGTATTTAAATGCTAACTAAATACTCAAGGATGTTTTAACTATCCAGTCCTTGTGGTTGCTAGCAGCCTCAGCAGCTCTTTCCTGATGCCCCAATAAATCTTTACAAAACCCAGTACCAGACCTGACATGAATGACTAATGTGGAAGGGTTATGTACAAGTGTAGGATTAAGTGTTCAGGTGTTTGCATTGGTACACTGAACTGTACTTGTTTAACATGTAGACTTTTTTTAACCTAAACAAAGAGGGCAGTTTTTCACCACACAGTCATGTTCTTTGCTCTTTTTGTTTTATTTTTTTTTTCTTCAGGTACTTGGTGGAAGTCCAGGAATACTCAATAGTCATGGATTTCAGGTGCAACAACAGCAACAGAGGAGGCTGTCACTACATGAATACATGAGCATGGGACTGTTGCAGGAGGCTGGCATTTCTGTTCCACATGGACTAGTTGCCAGGACACCAGACGAAGCTTACAAAATAGCAAAAGAAATAGGTATAATATTAAAGAGAACATATACAATATAGACATGGGATTGATACAAGGTGTAACTGCTTTTTCTGTCTTTCCTGGTAAGACATTTCTTGGAGTTCTGAACATACCTTCTCTTTAAGAGAGCCTTTCCTATGAAGCAACTTTCTTGCAGATTTGAGTATTTACTTTGGAGCTGATTTTCTTAATTTGAAGTTTTCTAATGCTTAAAATTGCTCAGTGCACAAGCATACAGCGAAATCAGTTAAGTGACCCAGTTTTAAAGATGCTCTCGGTTGTGTATTGAGACTTACTTATGAAGCTAAACTGTGTCTTAATCCTGCTTCCGTTAAAGGCTATGAACATATATTTCAGGCACCATCATTCCCATATCCCAAATGCTGCAGATACTTTTCCTGTAACCTGTGAGTTTTGTTTAGAAGGAATGGGGCAGGTATAAATTGTGTTAGCCTAGACCAATACAACTACCTAAACTTCTTTGAGATAAGTAATAGACTCTACTTTGTGCAAATCCTGGATTTCTTTTTGCTCTCGAGCGAGGTTAGAGAAAAATCTTGTGTGAAGAGCTTCAGTGGTGGTGGCAGGTAAGGTTTCTGTAGTCCAAGGTCTCATACAGAACAGAAGATGCAAAGTATACTTACCTTTAGGTTGCAGACGAAAAGTAAAATCCTGTTCCTTTGTGAATGTGCTGTTCTGGCGGAATGCGAATACTTCATGCAGGAGGGGAGAATTTGATGGCATGTATACAATAAATTCCTGGCTTGTTGATGAAAAAGCATCCAGTCTCCTTTGCCTGGTGCTTAAATACTTTAGAGTTGAGCTTTAGATTTGGACTTGACTCTGTCTGTTAATTTGCCACTTTGCCTACTGTGTGTCGTAGTAAAATTTTTTGTTTTAATTTGGATGTAATATAGAAGTCAACTTCTATTGTTTGAGGCATTAACACGGTTGTGGGTTTTTTTTGCTTTAGTTTAAAGCTTTTTTTGCTCGCTGGAAAAAATGTAGTAGGCTTGTCACACAGTTTTAAGGAAGGACATTGCTTATGGTATTCCACTCTCATATGCAAATACCTAAATCTCTTTTCACCTCCAAATGGATACATTTGTAGTGATTCCTGGGGTTATAGGTTTTGTTAGATTCATTTCAGTTTCATGTGTAGATTTAATGCAAGAAATGTGATCTGAAAAAGAAGATAATTTTTTTCTAGAGCAAGTTGTGCTGCTTTGTAATGTAGAAGGGAATTGAAAAGCTGCTTTTCCTTCAGATCTCATGTCCCAGAAATTCAGGTATTGCCTGCCTGCTGCCTTTGTCTTGTTCCCATTACAGAGTAAGTGATACAAAATTAAAACTTCATTAGTATGAAAGAAAGGTGTTAAAATACTTCTGTTCTGAGAATGCTTTAAAATTGAGACCCTCTCCTTCTGTTAAGGATGAGCTTGTAGCAGGATCTAAACTTTACAAATTGGGCATACCCCTTGGCTTACATGAATGTCTGCCCAGACCTCCTGCTAGTGGCAAATGAGGTAGCCTTTGCCTATGACTCTTTAATAGACAGCAGGGAAACTTGCAGGTCAGAATTCCTTTGTTTTGTTCCTTGTTCAGAGAGGAGTCCTGTAGCAAAATAGGTATGTCTGACTGCAGGTTTATGGCTCTGTCTCGTCCATGTGACGTCATAGGCATGCCTTTTATCTGCAGTATGTGACCCTATGCAATTTCTTGGGGGTCAGAAAAATGAAGCTGTGAAGTGTATGAGTTAGCATCCTTTAGTAAGCTAGAATAAAGGAATTCAGTGCTTCTGGTTGTCAGCTATATACTTTAAGTTGGTGTATATTTGAGGCTATGGCTTTCTTTGGTACTTGAGATAAGGAAGGGAAGACTTCCCAAAAGGAGAACACACTGAAGGAGCTTGAGTTTTTGAGGCATTGCTCAAACGTTGTCCAGAACCCATTCTGAATGATGATAGATTATCCTTTGCTCCAGTCTTCTGGGTTTGTTATTGTAGCCATTTCCCCACTAGTTTTTGTGCAGTATGTACTTAAAAAAAACTCAAACCAAGCAAACCAAAACTCTAGCAGAATGAAAAAACCTCACTTTTTTCTGTCCACCTGCTCTTTGTTTATTTTTCTTGTGTAAGAGTTCTTGCCAGTACGTATGAAGTTATCTTTTGCTTCTTATGTATTAAACTGTTTTTTCAAATGTTTGTCTAAATGGTTACAAAGATAGTCGGTAATACTGCTTGCTCTGTCTCCCTAGTGCTGATCCGCGTGGTCCTGATAACCTTTAGTCAGAAACCTGCCACCTGCTCATTGTTTATTTTTCTTGTGTAAGAGTTGTTGCCAGTACGTATGAGGTTATCTTTTGCTTCTTTTTATGTATTAAACTGTTTTTTCCAATGTTTGTCTAAATAGTTACAAAGATAGTCGGTAATACTGCTTGCTCTGTCTCCCTAGTGCTGATCCGCGTGGTCCTGATAACCTTTAGTCAGAAACCTGCTCTCTGTATCTCTTCCCTTTTGTGAATACCTCACTTCGGTTAGAAATGGGTAACTTCTTATCCCAATGTATAACAACTACAACCTTCTCTATTAATGAGATTATCATAGTTTAGCTGTGGCTGTAGCTAAATCAGTGTAACCCTGTTGTATGAACAAAGCCAAAGCTTAACTATACTGAGGATTATTATCAATGAGGTAACTAGTATGTGGTAGAATCAAGCTGAGGCATAAGAATGTTGCATTTTGTCTTAGAGCCTAGTTAGAAGAGTGCGCTAAGTATTCTTTCAATAAGAAAAATAATTAAATTTATTAGAATTTAATTTGAAGTTATGCTTATCTTGAGGTCTGAAGTTAGATGAAATAGTCTGGAAGCCAGAAAGGTTCCTTCCTCTCCACCTCCCCAGTCTTTCTTGTACTAAATATTTTTTCTGCTAAAGACCAAAGTGTCCTAAAGACAGCAAATTGTTTACCTATATGTGAAGTAATTGTGAAACATATGTGAAGTAAAACAGTATTTTGAGCTTGCATTGTTTTCTTCCCTGCAACATCTTTCTAATATTTTTTTAAAGGAAAATGAGATGAAACTAGATGCTGTGAGCAACTTTTGAGCAATGATGACAAGATCACTTATGGTTTGAGTCTTAAGGAAAAAGAACTTAAACTTTTTTTGCTCTTTTTTTTTAAAATTTGATTTCTGCTGCAGCTATCAGATTTCTTAAAATGCTGTGTTCAACTCAGATTTCTGTTCTAGCTGGATTCTGCAACTAATTATTGTTTTGCTTCTATTTTTTTTAAGTGTTTTCTGTTGTGTCATGGGAAGGTTGGCCATTGTAATTATTGCAGCATTGGTTTGCATGTAGCTTTGTCTTTTCATATTTGTCTGGCTGTTGAAAGTCATCATTGGAATTTGTTACTTATCACAAGCAGCTTTTCCCTATAAAGAGCCTTCCGTCTCATTTCAAGTAAATTGTTATCGCACACTGGTTCATTAAACTATTATTCTTTTAAAATAACTACTGCTGAGTAATTCAGTCCCTGGGAATAGGTTTGGTCCTCATGTAAATGTCATTGCTCACTCACTTTTCCTCCAGTAGTTCACTGTCTCCATTCAAGACTTCCAGATCTTATTTGTGCTACTGAAAGAATGCATTCTACTCAGAGCTGAGAAGACTTGTATCTGATGAAGTCTTTAAAGACTTTATTGATTAAAAAAAGTATTTTTAGTTATTTGTGGGCTTTGCAATATGTGGCTCTTCATGTGTTACTTGAGAGTCTCACTTAAATTTGGAAAAAGTGAGCTGAGTAAATTCTGTTCCAGAGTGTTGATAAGAGGCTGCAGTATGTCTTGATGATTGTCTTGAAGTTTATGGTTTATTTTCAGCCTGTGCGTGCATTTCAGCTAGCACTGTGACTGGTGCTGATTTAGAAGGTGATACGCATTTGTTACCAAGAACATCACTAATGAACCTAAAGACTATTTCTTCAAGAACAGGTGCTTCGTCAGTGTGATAACAGGTAGCTCAGCAGAACATGGTCTTTGAAATGTATGGTATTTCTGTTTGGTAATACATCACCTATGAAAGTGTATGTATTGCTGTAACTGAAGTTTTGATGCTTCCTGACACCTTCCTCTGTTAACAGTTGTGTGGAAGGGAGTGACATATTGTATGCCTGTAGAAAAGCCTACTTTTCTTTTAAAGCATATATTTCTATTCATGATGATTTGAGAGGTAAGACTTCTGAAGTGATTAATATCTTGAAGGAGTTTTTGTATTCTGATAATTTTGTAGGATTTTAAGATAGTGAATCCCATGGCTTTATGCTTATGGCAGGCTGTCAAATCTTAGTAAAATAAAAAGCTGTACAGAGTAGGAGATGTTGAGAAACTGAGTGCATAACATTTCAGCTTTTCACACCAGAGTTCTTGTAAGGAGCCTGAAAACAGTGGAGTCTGCTGCTACTTTGGCTATTGCAGTAAAAGATTTAGTCCATCTCCTTATCAGTGTGGTTTATAAGGAATGATCTTTTTTGGTATGCTTTCTGCAGAATGACTGAAGTAATTGGCTTGGCTGTGTTCCTGCAGACAGTTCTGTGATTAATAGCTGTTTCTTTCAGACCTCTTTTAGTGCTTTTCAATGTTGTTATTTTATTTTTCTGTCTTACTTAAACATACAACCTGTATCTGTTTAAAAAGTGAAAAGTAATGCATAAACCTGGGTAGATTTATGAATGGATTTATTGATCTCAGGCTTGATTTAGTCCGAAATCAAAGTTTAGTACCATGTATGCAATGATTTTCTTAGGTAAAATACTACCTTTTTCTTTATTAGCTCTTCAAAGGTATTAGGTATTCCAGGCACTGCGGCACAAAAACTGGGATGGTTTTCTCCTTAGTGTATGCTACACTTTCCTCGTTAGCCTGTGATTAAGTGTGTTTTTTTTTCTTTGTTCTGTGTCACGCTGAAAGCTCACATTTATTTTTTTGTTCCTAGTACTTTTTGGTTGTTTT